GAACCCCAGGGCTTTTCAAAACACAAAAAACAGAATGCAACCTCACTTTTTCTTTCCCTGCCAAAATTTAAAATAATCAGGTCTTCAAAATAACCACTATAGGGTTTTGAGGCAATCTTTGGTTGCCATCGGTAATAGCAATGATAGAATACCGATGAACTGAGATATAAAACGCAAAGCACAGTTGAAATGATTGATCAAAATAGACCTTCTTGTTATATGAAGGATATTTTTTTTTCAAATGCTGAACTTGTGAGTTCACAGTTTATATGTTAATAATAAATTTTACTAGCAATGAGTTTGCCTGTTTTACAGGGAGTTGTACTAAACTTTTGTAAAAGTTTGATTTTGCAATGCACCTCTAACTTAGGAATATCATAACTTACTTTTAATATAATTGTGTCCTGATTTTAGTAACTGCCCTAAAATTTTTTCTAGTCAGTGCAGAGGGAGGTCGGACGTATGATGACATAATGATGATCAATAGATGGCTCAAAGATTGGTGATAAAGGCAGGTTTGGGAATACTTAGCCAGTGGGATGCATTTGCTAAAAGAGCATTTTCAAAGGTTGGATTCCATCTGACTATCTGTGAAAATTGCCTTCTGACATCATCAGCTTTTATGGCTCATAAGAAGAGCTTTAAACTGAGAAGTGAGAGGAACAGGTCAAAAGAAAGTGGTTTCATTTCCAAACGTGGTTAAAAAAATCTGATGGACCAAGATACAGGAATGGATAAAGGAATAGCAGTGGTGAAAAGATGGATAGTGAGGGGAAGAAAACACAGGTATTGATAGAACAGTATTCAGGTACTTCTTGTGATGAGAGTATAGCTAATCCAAACAAGGTACTGAATTTTTTTGATACAGAACTGCTAACAGGTAAGCCTGCAAATGAGTAGTGGGTAATGCAATGGAGAATGCATATCTGAGTAATGCAATGGAGAAACATGAATTATTGCTCAGGCTGTAAAAACAGACATTTCAGCAGAAAGTGGGTGGAATAACAGAACCAAATCCAAGTACTTAAATTTCTTGTGTTTAAGGGAAGATAGAAATAAAAGCAAAAATCATAGCTTCATGTGCCAATAATATTCTAAGCTCCAAAGAAACAAGAAGGGGGAATTGGAACAAAATGTAATCCTTTCCAAAGGCTTTCCAAACAACTCCTTCAGTTTAGTGTTTGGGCTCTGCTATTGATAGTTAAGGGTGAATTTTATTATGGAAAGAGGAATTAGACAGAGTTAATGAAGATATAAATACTATTTTAAATTGTATTTTATGGTCACTTGTCTTTTCAGATACAGATTAAAGTCAATGCTTCAGTTTTTAATAAATGTCATGATGCTGGCAGTGAGTAAAAACAAAGTAACTGTGCTAATGTTTAATTTTACACTGTATTTCACAAGTCAATAGAACAGATATACAAAGGATTTTTAAAGGAATATGTCGAAAGTGAGAGCTGGTTTTCTTTTTTGTGAAGCTGGGAGGCATGTCCAGAGAGGGGCAACAAAGCTGGTGAAGGGTCTGGAGCACAAGTCTTATGAGGAGTGGTTGAGGGAGTGGGGGTTGTTTAGTTTGGAGAAGAGGAGGCTGAGGGAAGACCTTATTGCTCTCTACAACTACCTGAAAGGAGGTTAAAGTGGGGGTCGGTCCCGTCTCCCCTCTTCTCCCAGGCAACAAGTGATAGGACAAGAGGAAATGGGCTTAAGTTGTGCCAGGGGAGATTTAGTTTAGATATTAGGAAAAATTTCTTCACAGAGAGAGTGGTTAGGCCTTGGAACAGACTGCCCAGGGAAGTGGTACAATCACAGTCCCTGGAAGTGTTCAAAAAACGTGTGGATGTGGTGTTTAGGGACGTGGTTTAAAGGTGGGGCAGGCAGTTAGGTTAACAGGTTGGACTCAATGGTCTCAGAGGTCCTTTCCAATCTTAACGATTCTATGATTCTATGATTCCATGTCTTAAAAGTTTAATATAAGTCATGAAAATTTTCTATGAGACTGAGTTTTACAGGGTTTTATCTATGTAGTCTGCCAGATATTGTTTCGTCACACTTGGAGCTCCTACATATGGTCAAGGTTAAAATTCCTTACTGAAAATACCTGTCTCTTTTCTCTGGCCTCAAAATTTTGTTACTGAACATGAAATAAATTGTTGCTTGATTGTTTTTAAATGGGATTCAATTAATCTGTTAGACAGAACTGCTTGCTACTTTTACATATTTCCTGAAGAACAAAGCCACTTAATAATCATAAGACTAAATTACATTTATATTTTAATTTTCTAATCTTTGAACCAAAATACCATTGAATCCTCTCCTAACATCATTGTTCTTAGTAGAAAACAGTCAATTAACTTGCAAGTTAAAGAAATGACATTCCCGTGTCTCCTTTTTAAATACAGTTAATATTCTTCAACTAGAATAATGTATAAATAGTTTTATTTCAGTATGCACTAGTGATCAGAACAATGTCTTATTTACTGCAGCATTTTGGTGTACACTGGGGATGGGAAAAGGATTACTATTTTTATTTTATTCTGTTCATTGCAAATCCTTTCAAGTTCCAGATGTTCTTCTGAGATTTTAAGCTTTCTTTCATTAACATGAAACAGACCTTTGTTTCTTTTCCTGAAAGTTAAACCATGCCAAGGTAAATCAAAATTCCATAGATTTCCATTATAAACCATTCTGGTACTGCTGAGCGTAACTTTTAAAATTCACCTGAATTAATCAATACACTTTCTCTAATCAGTGAAGTATTTACTGGTTGTCTGAGTTCAAAGAAAAATACCAACTGAAAATTCAAAACCAACAACGAGCACAGAAATTGCTATGTAGATAATCTGTTCCCATGTTGTATATAGGGATGGAATGATAAAACATCCAATTTCAAGAGATAAAGAGATAAACAAGATTGAAAAAAATGCACTCTGAAAAAGAAACTTGATATTCTGTGGAATAACGCTACCAGGTGAGCTACTGCCTCCATGAATTTGAGGCTCTGCTGCTTCAAAAGGCTCAAGTGATTATTACTAATATGTTCTCATTGCATTGACACAACAGCCTTAAAAACTTGTGGTATCATATGCTCATGCATTGTGTTTTCTTGGCGAGAGTCCACCACATGCAGCAATTGTTATTCCACTAGATGGCCAGCTCTTGCCACAGTTTTTGTACAGGAACATGGTTGAAACATCGCTAGTGGCACAATACGTTTTGCTTTGCAGGAATCACTAAGTGTTGGGTGTAAAACCATATGTCTGCCCTAAGCTCATCATGCATATTTCTGTACTAGGACCATGAGGTGTAAGGAACAATTGTTCATCTTTGGAAGTAGTTTGTATATGGTATCTGTGGTCTAGTGTATCTACTCTGAGAAAAGGACTGACTTAGTCATTAAGTTAGTCCAAGTTCTCGATTCCAGCAGCATCTTTCTCAAATGAGGTGAGAAAGTGATGACCTGTTAAAGGTAGCAAAGGGATAACTTCCTCACAGCTTAGGCTGAGCGTTGTGACTCAGAACTGCACTTAAAGATGAGATCTGTGCATGCATACTCTCATGTTAACATCACCTTTGGATTCAATCTTCTGATTTTTCAAAGACAAAATAAGTGGAGAGAATAAAGAAATATCAATTTTACTCAATAGGGATGTCCATACAGGACACTGTAACTCACATATGGCAATGGGAAGAGGTAAAACAGCAAGCAAAGTTGTGGTTATACATTTGTCACTGTGTTATGGAAAGGAAAGTTGGTTTTGTTTCTGATTTGGTTAACACAACAGTAAGATTTCTTTTCAAACATAATGACTATATGCTGAGAAGCTGAAA